TTCCACATGAACACAGGCAAGTAGTTGATAACCAACATCGTGTCATCAAGAGCATAATGTTTATGTGTTTAAAAGACATTTAACAAAAGTGGGGTCGGCAGATGGCATGGTGGTTGAGCGTGCTGGACTCCCACATGGCCGACTGTGCTTCAAGTCCTGGATCTGGCAACTTGGTTTCTTGCGTTCTTTCTCTGTCTCTCTCTCACGCTGTCCTTCTCTGGTAAAATTAAAATAAGTAAATGAATAAAGTTAAATAAAATTATTCTAAAAAAAAAAGACATTTTAAAGAAAGCAAGGAGCAAGCCATGATTTCTCTTAAAATTACAAAATGACTTTTTTTCTAGATTCCCCCACTTTTTCCCCCTTCACAATAAATCATGAATATGTACATATCTGCATCCTCCTTTAAAACGGATGCATGGGATTCCTCAGATTCCTTACATAGATCTGTCTGTTATAAACATGAGTGTGAGGAGGAAAGTTTGTATATGTACATATTTAAAAAAAAATTCTTTCTTTGGTGGCACAAGTAACCCACTTACCAAGGAGAGGACGGAATTAGTTACCCGCTGCTGCTCCACAAATGACTTGAAATCCTAGCAGCTTCAGATGACAGGGATGGACTATCTCTCACGGTGTCTGGCAGTCAGAAGTGCAGGAGCAGCTTACGGAGTGGCTCTGGCTCAGGCCTCCTGTGAGGTCACAGCTAATGTCATCAAAGGCTATCGGCATGTGAAGGCTTCACCAGGGCTGAAGGATCCCTTTCGAGATGGCCCACTCACATGGCCATTGGCAGGAGGCCTCAGTTCATCCGAACGTGGTTCTCTCCATGGGGTGGCCTGAGTGTCCTCAGGACGTGACAGTCAACTCCAGCAGCACAAGTGACCTGAGAGAAGGCAAGCCGCACTGTCTCTTGTACTGTATGCTGTTTATGAGGAGAGTCACTAAGTCTGAGCTTCACCCAGGAGAGGAGACGTAGCCTCCATCTTTTGGAAAAGAATTTGTGGTCATATTGCAACTGCCACAGTAACCATATCATAATTTATAAAATGCAGAACTTCCTTTCTTAGATTGTTGAGTAAGTCATGGTGGCCTTCCTGTGGCTTGCTGCCAGCCTCCTCCAGGAGTTGCGAGGGGCTGGGTCTGTAGTGTCTTATCCATGCTCCCAGGCACAGGGCAGACGTTCAGTTTCCCAAACTGTCTCCCAAACCGAACAGGATAAAGTTGGCCATTCCTGCAACTTTGCTGCCAGTTCCATTAGGTGCTCTCTCTATCCCTGTTCATCTATTCTGGACACAGTTTAATTCACGACATTTATTTATTTATTTATTTATTTAGTTTGGAGAGGTTTTTGCTATAGGGCGCGTGTGCTCGCCAGAAAGACAGAGACAGAGAGATAGAAAGCGAGAAATCACCCCCCAGAGGGGATGGCCACGCTGCAATCCCTTCTCCTCCATTCTCCTCTCGGGATCTTGGACACGCACGCACACGCGCCTGGCGTGAGTTTAAGCCACCGGGTCCGGGACTCGAACAGTGTTCGACTACGTGGGAGTCCAGCGACATAGCCCTTATGCTAACTGTTGGTCCCTATTCACGACATTTTTGAATAAAGTTAATTTATTTAAATAAGACAAATTGGGAAATCTAGCTTCACGTGCGTACTTGCTCACTATGAATACTCAATGACGACACGTGGCCGGTGGCTACCATGTTGGGCAGCACATAGAACATTTCCAACATCAAAACAGTTCTCCTGGGCTGGCTGGGCTAGGGAAACCACCGTCGATTTTTGCCCTGTTTCAGTGGAAGATGAGCCACGATAACTTCGTAGTCTCCTGTAAGTTCTCTCCTGACGGTAAATACGTAGTCGCAGGCTTGGATGTGGATCGTGGCATCTTCATCATGGACGCGGAGAACACCGCCACCGTGTCGCACATCAAAGGTGAGGCGGCGTGGGCTTCCTGCTCTGTCATCGTCACGGCCCCTGGTCACAGGACTGACAGTGACTTTAAAAAATAAATGTTTGGCCAGAGGGCACTGTTGCTCACTGGAGAGATAGAGAGAGACAGAGTGAGATAAAGAGAGAGGGAGCAAGCACTCTCTAATGGGGCATGCTCACACTGCGATTCCTTCTCCTCCATTTCTCCGTCCTGTCAGGATTTTAGGTTCCCATGCACGTGCGACCCCGTGTGTTTCTCAGAGTGCTGGGGCTGAGATTGGAATGACAGCTGGTCTTGGGGGATGACTCCCGTAACCACTGCGAAATGGCCTAACTGAGCATCTTCTTATTGCTTTATCTGGTGAAACCGTGTTGGTATAAGCCATATCGTTAAAACTGAGACACTGATGAAAAGCACAGATGGCTCAAACCCACCCTGGTCTTCTTCTGTTAGTGCTTTTCTGTTCAGTCTTGTGCTTGTAACACATCAAGGTTCTGCTCCAACCACACGTGGACAGTGAACGCCTAATGGTTTGTTGAGTAAAAGCTCAGCCCTCATATTTTTACCTGTTTGTTTCTTTTTCTTTCTTTTTTTTTTTGCTATAGGGCGAGTGCACTTACCAGAAAGACAGAGACAGACAGAAAGCAGGAAATCACACCCCAGGGGGAATGGCCACACCACAATCCCTTCTCCTCCATTCTCCTCTCGGGATCTTGGGCACACACGCACACGCGCCTGGCATGAGTTTAAGCCACTGGGTCTGGGACTCGAACTGCGGTCGACTACAGGGGAGTCCAATGACATAGCCATTACACCATCTGCTGGTCCTTCTTTTTTTTTTTTTTCCTAAAGAATTATTTTATTTAACTTATTTATTTATTTATTTTTATTTTTATTTGACCAGAGAGGGACAGAGGGAGAGAGAGAGGGAAAGTGAGAAAGCAAAGCTGCTAGGTTTGAGACTTGAACCGTGGTTGGCCATGTGGGAGTCCAGTGCTCTTAACCACCACGCCATCTGCTGGCCCCTGTATTTGTTTCTTAAAAGGTTTTATGGTGCCTGTGTTCACTGGAGAGAGACAGAAAGAAAGAGAGACAGTAAGAGGGAAAGTGAGAAATCACCTCCCAGGGGTGATGAATACACTGCAATCCCTTCTTCTCCACTCTCCTCCTGGGATTTTGGGCATGCATGCACATGCACCTGGTATGGTCTTCAAGCTGCCAGGTCCAGGGTTCGGACCAGAGTTGGTCATGTAGGAGTCCAGCCCCTTAACCATCACGCCACCTGCTGGCCTCTTTACCTGTGTTTTTAAAATTTAATGTCAGCCTAGCTATGGTGGTGCACAGATAGCACCATTGCTTGGAAGGCTGGAGGCTGCGTGGGTGGCCAGGCTTATTTCCAGATTGGGCTGAACATGCCTGGTGCAGTTACAAGAGCTTGTAATCCTAGCTAATTGGGAAGTTGGGGCAGGAGGATTGTGGCATGGTGACACATGGTCAAAAATATCTACCTCTGTCTCCTTCCCTTTCCCTCCTCCTCCCTATCTTTCTCTCTCATATGGGGAAAAAAAATCACTGTATGTCCATTTCTTGGTTGTGATACTTTACTATTGTTGTGCAAGATGTTACCATTGTGGGGAGACTGGGTTAAGAGCACATAGGAGGGTTGGGCCAGCAGGTGGCGTGGTGGCTAAGGGCACCAGACTCCAACATGGCCGGCCACGGTTTGAGTCCCAGCCCTGGTGGTTTGCTTTCTCACTTTCTCTCTCTCTCTTCTCACTCTCTCCCTCTCTGGTCAAGTTAAAATAAATAAACAAAGCTAAATAAAATAATTCTTTTTTTTTTTTATTATCATAATCTTCTTTATATTACATTGGATTACATATAACTTTACATTGACTTCCATTGCTTTTTCAAAAGGGAATGCCATGCATGTCAGTCAATACAGAGGCATCGATCTCCCCGCTTTATCATTCAAAGTCTTTTCCATGCATTTCCCAATAATTATTATTATTATAATTTTTTAAAACAGTCAATCACTATTTCTCATTTTGCTTGTTAAAAGACTTCACCCATCATGATATACTTCCCAGACCAGTCCAGTTGAGATTGTTAAAAGACTTCACCCATCATGAAATACTTCCCAGACCAGTCCAGTTGAGAATACTATACACGTCATCTTCAACAGATAATAAACCATATCTGTTTCTCACTAACATCACCTCTATTGTTCACTTGCTATCTTTCTCTATCCTCTTCTCTTTTATTTTTTTTTTATAGTTTATTTTTTATTATAATTTTTTTTTTCCCATCGCAACACACAAATGAATTTTCCATCCAAGATATACTGTGCATTGGCTCAATCAAGCACGTCAACATATATGTTCTCAGCAAATAATTTCCCAATTCTTGTGTCCTGCATACCTTGCCTTTTGTTTTACCATCCTAGATTCCCCATCCCCCTCCCTCTGTTATGACCCATCCTCCTCCCACATTGTCCCTGTCATCCCCGATTGCCCTCCGTGCCTCACCCCTCCCCAAATGATCTGTCAGTGATCTTAATTAGTCTAAGTCTCTCCAATAGTTATCACAGCTGACACATGCCTCTACATGAACTCAAGTCTGACTTTAGGCCTAAACCCCATTGGGTAAAAAGAGCATACTATAAAGTAGAACCCAACTGGGCCCATACCGCTCACTGCAGCCATCAAATATCCATTTTTTTTTTAAATGGTACGAATAGTTTTACCAGTTTTTTTTGTTTGTTTTTTGTTTTCGTTTTTTTCCCGTAACATTCATTCCCTGAGCATCATCACAGCATACTAAATGTAATTTCCCATCTAGAATAGACTGCATAGTGACTTAATCAAGCATGTTATCATCAATAATATTCCACTTCTACTTTCTTGCTTATGCACATATATATGTTTTTTTTCCTCTTCCTCTCTTTTTTTTTTTATTATTTTTTAAATTTTTCCTATGTTTGTCCCTCTGCCCTGTCTCACTCTCCCATTACAATATCCCTGCTATATACAGTTGTCTTCCAGAAGAGTTACTGAAAAAGTGATACATACAAGTAAAGGGAGAGAGGCCACAAGTTCCAACCATCAGCTCATAAAGTTTTTGGTAATAGGGAGCATAAACTCCACTCAGGGTTGGATAAGGAAGGGTCTCCGGCAGATCCACAAGTGTAGGTGAGTCTCCAAGGAATGCAGTTTCAGGAAAGCAGTTCTGGTACACAGGGATAATTATCAGCTGATGCGGCACAGCAGTCATCTTGTAGTTACCAGGAATGGTGTTGTGGGGGTCTGCAGTGTGAGTTGTCCTTGGGTATCTGGCTTCCTTAAAAATGGCAGAGTAGTTCTTGTTTTCCCCTGAGGTAATGCAGGGCTGGTAACTATCATCTTCTTAAGTTGCAAGTTCTTCAACCTTGTTTTCGGCCTCCGGGCCATCCCGGGCCAGAGAGGCAGGGAGGGGCAGGGAGGCCCGCCGCGTCAAATAAAATAATTCTTAAAAAAAAAGAAAAAGCATGCAGAAGGGGCCAGCAGATGGTGTGGAGGTTAAGGCACTGGACACCCACATGGCTGACTGTACCCAGTGACTTGAAAATCATGCTGGGCACGTGTGAGTGTGTGTCCAAAATCCTGAGAAGAGAATAGAGGGGAAGGGTTTGTGCCATAGCCGTTCCTCCTGCGAGTGATTTCTTACTTCTCGTCTCTATGTTTCTCTCCATCTCTCTCTGGTGAGTGTACATACTCTACGGCAAAAATCTAAAAAAAAAAAAAAAAAAGAAAAGAAAAAAGGAGCATATGTGATTCCTCTGCATTTTTTTTTTACAATTGCATGTGAGCTTGCAGCCTGTTTTATTACAAAATAAAAATTCAAAGAAATACATAAGTAGTGTTAAAATATTTGATATGTAAAGGAAAAAGTGAAAGACTTCCGAACCCGGCCTATCTCCTCCCCAAAGGTGCCTAATATTAACAGTGCATTGGGGGCGGCCTTCCAAAACTTTCTGTGTGTGTGTGTGTGTGTGTGTGTGTGCGCACTTACACACTTACTACTACTCCCCATATGACTTTTGTGTTTTCTTTGTCAGCATGCAAAGAACCACGATATGTGCACTGCCCCTCCACCTCCCTTTTTCCTTAGCACATCGTACGCCACCTCACCTCCTACTCCAGTTCTAGCTGCACATGCGCCTCTCCAGCCTTCGTCCCACCTCCAGGCCTTTGCACAGAGGTTCAAAGCTTTCTTCAAAGGTTCGTTCCTTTGCCTGGAGTGCTCTTTCTTTTCTGCCTTTCTCACTGACTTATTTTTTTTTTTTTTTTTTTTGCTATAAGGCACATGCACTCGCCAGAGAGAAAAAGAGAGAGACAATGAAAGGGAAAGTGAGAAATCACTCCCCAGGAGGGATGGCCACACCACAATCCCTTCTCCTCTATTCTCCTCCTGGGATTGATTTTGGGCACACACAGACACATATACACCCCTCGTGATTTTCAAGCTACCAGGTTCAGGAGTCAAACGGTAGTCAACCACGTGGGAGTCCAGTGCCTTCACCACCACACCACTTCCCCCGCTTCCCACTGACATAGAGCCCTTTCTGGACCCCACGAGGTGGTGGGCCAGGCTTCTGCTGGCCAGGAACTGTGATGTGCCTTGTACTCCTCTCACAGCCTTTGGGTTATGGCGGGTCGTTGCCTGTTCAAGAGCGTCTTCCCCGTCACACTGGCAGCTCTGTAGGGGCAGGGAACAAGTCCACTGAGCTCACTCTTCAAAGCACGACACATAGTAGGTCCTCAGGGAATGTTGGTGCTGGTAAAAATAGACCCTTCTGGAATCATGTTTTGGAAACACCACTGCTGGTTGGGGGAACTGTGTGAGCCCTGGAGGCCGCATGATGCATGTGGTCCCCACGTGGAAGACACTGGTAACAAGTCACTTTCCTCATGTCACAGATCATCACAGCAGGTCAATCACAGCATGCTGCTTTGACCCTGACAGCCAGAGGGTGGTGTCTGTCTCCTTGGACCGGAGCATCAAGATCTGGGATGTTACATCCCGGACCACACTGCTCACCATCACCAAGTAAGGAGGGTCCCAGGAGGCCAGGCGATCCTGCAGCAGGGAGGTGGGCGGGACGTCCCCACTGGTGCTGTCCTGGATTCCGTGTGCAAGCCCACGTCCATGCAAATACATCACCAGCTTAGTTATGGGTGCTCCAGGTCGCTGGAGCCTGGCAGGCCAGGGAGAAGCCCCCAACTGAGGCCTACAAGCTGGGCTGGGCTGGACCTCAGGTGCGTTTGTCTCAATGTGAGCCAACACTTGAAAACGTGGTGCAGGGCCCCCACATATACGGCATTTCCAGGATTTCTTGCGAAATAACAATCTAGGACCTGCAAGGGTCTCCTTGCAGATGGCCACTGCCAGATGGGACGCATCCTCTCCAGCAGGCCCTGGAGTCAGAGTTCCAGAACGTGTATGCCCTTGTCACTTCATAGGCCTGGGTCAGCCTCCCCTTGGTGGGCTGACCAGGCTTTAAGGTGGTGTAGGCTTCCATCCTGTGTGACCTTGGGCCTCAGTGCGGTGGGCCCTCAGCACACGCTCTGACTCTGAGGCTGAAATCCAGGGAAAGCCTGGGTTGGGGGGCCAGGAGTACCCTCTCTGCACTGCTCATTAGAGCCACTACATGGTGGCAGTGGGGCTGGGGTGAGGGCAACGGAGGCAGCTGCAGGAAGATAATAAAGAGGCAGGGAGCCTTAGAGCCAAAGACAGGGCTGGCTTCAGCCTGCAGCCTGAGTCAGAAGGGCCCATGCTTGATTTCGCACGCTATGTTGTTGACCTCTTCAAATTCTTCATGATTTGTGAACAAGGGACTTGGCTTTTTTTTTTTTTTTATAATTTCAAAAATACATAATTTACTTTTTGAAAATGGAAAACATTCAACATAGTATAAAACTAAAAGTTACAAAATCATATATAGAGAAAAGTCTCTCTCATGTCTTGTAACCATTCAGTTTCCTTCTCCAGAATCCACCATTTTTTTCTCTTTCTTCTCACTTGCCCACCTGACTGCCTTCTTGCCTTTCCCCTTTTTTTTTTTCTAGGCAGAGATTTTTGCTCACAGGTGCATGCACTCGCCAGAGAGACAGAGAGTGAGAATTTACCCCCCCACACAGGGGGATGGCCATATTGCAATCTCTTCTCCTCCATTTTCCTGTTGGGATCTTGGGCACGCACGTGCACGCGCCCAGCGTGAGTTTCCAGCTGCTGGGCCTGGGACTTGAACAGGGTTGGCAATGTGGGAGTCCAGTGCCTTAACCACTATACCACCTGCTAACCCCCTCTGCATTTCTTTTCTTTTTTTCTTAACTGCTTTGTTGAGATGGAATTTATATTCCACATGATTCACCCATTTAAAAGGCATTATGTGGCTTGAGGGATATTCCATTATTAGTTTTCATTGTGGTGATATAAAGCGTTAAACTTACCATTTAAATCATTGTTAAGTGTACGATTTGCTGGCATTAATGGCATTTACAATGTTGTGTAACCCTCGCCATTACGTATTTCCAAAACCATTGTAACACCTCAAACAGAAACTGTACACATTACATAATAACTCCCCAAGCCCTGCTCCTGGGCCCCCAGCCCTCAGTGACTTCTATTCCACTTTATGTCTCTATAAATTTGCCTATTCTAGATATTTCAGAAAAGTGGGACCAGACATTATCCTTTTGAGACTGGCTTATTTCACTGTAATGTTCTTGAGGTTCATCCAGGTTGTAGGATGCCTCGGAGCTTCATTTCTTTTTATGGCTGAGCAGTATTCCACAGCATGGATACATTTTCTTTATTCATCTGTGGATGGGCACTTGGGTTGTTTCTACTGCTAGGCTAATACGAACAATATGGCGATGAACAGTGGCATCTGAGTCCCTGCCTTCAGTTCTTTGGGCACATACCTAGAAGCAGAATTGCTGGATCACACAGCAATACTGTGTTTAGCTTTTTGAGAAACTTGGACCTTGCTTATTTATTATTTATTTATTTATTTTAGGTTTTTGTCATAGGGCACCCACATTCACCAGAGAGAGAGGAAAATTGAGAAATCACTGCTTAGAGGGGATGACCATGCCTCAATCCCTCTCCTTCATTGTCCTCCTGGGATTTGGGGCACGCACGCACATGCCCCTGGTGCAATTTTCAAGTCACTAGGTCTGGAACTCAACCTGTGGTTGGCCATGTGGTGTCCAGTGCCTTAGCCACCACAGTGCCAGCTGGCACTAGAACTTAGAATTCTAATTTCACACTGGGCTCTGAAAACCATATTGCTGGTCTTGTTAGAGGATTTTGAAAATTTATAATCTCAACTGACTTTGCAGCTTTCAAGGAGTAAATATGAGTACTTTTTATAATCTTTGGCTTTGACCGTCAAATATATTTTAGAAAACTCAAGAGGAGAAGGCAAGCGTGTTGTACTTAAGCTCCAAGTTTCTTCTTTTAGTGTTTCCTTTCTGTTTAGAAAAATTTCTTTAGTAATTTTTTTTTTTTTATATATATAGGGTAGGTCTAGAAGTAGCAAATTCTCTTAGTTTTTCTTCATCTTGTAAATGTCTTATTTCCCTTTTTAACTTTAAATTTATTTATTTACATTCATTCACTGTACATCATTACAGTATACAAAATGAGATTTTCCATCCAGAGTACACTGTATATTGGCTCAATCAAGCACATCAACATACATGTTATTGTCAACAAATAATTTTCCATTTTTTGTTCCTGTATGTTTTGCTTTTTTTCCCTAACCTTGATTCCTTATCTTGATTTCCCTTTTATTGAAGGCTATTTTTACTGGATTCAGAAATCTGAATTGACACTTCTTTTCATTCAGCACATAAAGCTGTCATGTCACTGTCTTCTGGCCTTTAGGGTTTCTGATGAGAAATCCATTATCATCCAAATTGATCTTTCTTATAGCTTTTTTTTTTTTTTTTTGAGAGGTTTTTGCTATAGGGTGCATGCACTCACCAGAAAGACAGAGAGAGACAGAGAGACAGAAAGCGAGAAATCACCTCCTGCGGGGGTGGGGGGGATGGCCACCCCGCAATCCCTTTTCCTCCATTCTCCTCTTGGGATCTTGGGCACGCACGCACATGTGCCTGGTGTGAGTTTAAGTCATCAGGTCTGGGATTTGAACTGCAGTCGACTACAAGGGAGTCCAGTGACATAGACATTATACCAACCGCTGGTCCTATTATTTTTAACTGCCAGAAGGGATATGCAGAGAGAGAGAGAGAGAGAAAAGGAGAGGATGAAAGCACCCCCTCCAATGGGACATGGGCCACTCCATAATCCTTTCTCCTCCATTTCTCCATCCTGTTGGAATGTGGGCACATATATGCACCTAGTATATTTTCTAAGCCACCAGGACCAAGATTTGAACTATGCTGACTGTGGGATCTACGTCCCTATGTATTGTGCTTAACTACTGTGTTACAGGCCAGCTTCTCCTTCCTTTTAAGATTTTTCCCTGTGTCTTTAGTTTTTTTATGTTTAATTATGATGTCCTTAGGAATAGATTTCTTCGGATTTATCCAGTTCAGGATTTACTCAGATTCTTGAAAATACAGGTGTGTATCTTGTGCCAAATTTAGTCAAGTTTCAGCCACTGATTCTTCACTTACTCTCTCAGTTTGGCCTTCTTTCTCCTCTCCTTCCTGTCCTCTAAGGACACAAACCTTAGGTGTTTTGTTGCAGTCCTGCAGGTACCTGGGACTCTGTTCCTTTTCCTCCCCCCGTGTACTTTCCCTCTGTTTTTCAGATGGGTTGACTAATACTGGTCTGTCTTCACGTTCACTGACCCTCTCCTCTGTCCTTTCCAAACTGCTCTTGAGCCACCCAGTGTGTGTTTTGTTTCAGTTATTGTGTTTTTCAGCTCTAAAACGTACATCTGGTTCTTCTATTTCTCTTCTGAGGTGTTCTTTTGTGTTTACTTGTTTTAAGGAGGATTACAATTGTTCACATAAGCATTTTTATGATGGCTATTTAAAAATCCTGGTCAGGGACCAGCAGTTGGCGTAATGGCTCTGTCACTGGACTCCCATGTAGTTGACCGTGATTCGCGTCCTGGACCCGGTGGCTTAAATCTCACGCCAGGCGCGTGTGTGTGCGTGCCCAAGATCCCGAGAGGAGAATGGAGGAGAAGGGATTGCGGCATGGCCATCCCCCCCTGGGGGGTGATTTCTCACTGTCTCTCTGTCTCTCTCTGTCTTTCTGGTGAGTGCACGCGCCCTATTGCAAAAACCTCTCCAAAAAAAGAAAAGATACAAAAATCCTGGTCAGATAACCGGGACATCGGTGTCATTTCAGTGTTGACATCTGTTGATTATCTTTCGCATTTCTCTTGAAATTTTCCTGGCTCTTGGTAGGATGAATGATGTCAATGGAATCCTAGACATTTTGATACTGAGGAGAGGACACTCCTCGGGGTCTTACTGGAACCCGTGTGAGCAGGCTACCTCCTGATGGCCTGTCCAGGGTGAGAGTCTGAGCGCTTCACTGGGCTACTGCTGACAGGGGTGAGGGTGGGCTGCAGTTTTTACTAAGGTGTTCAGCTGAAACATGTCCTATGGCAAAAAAAAAAAAAACACAA